TTAAATTGTTCTTTAACTCTAAATTCAAGTGTCAGACATTGAATCACCAGTTAAACACTTAGGTCTCTTGGATTGGTGGACACGTGTGAGACTAAACCATACGTGTCGTAGTAACGTGGGTCGAGGTGGTATGAGGTTGTTAACCTATTGCTTTAACAAATGGTATATCCCGACCATACAAAAATAACTGTTTTGTCCCTAACTCACCCAACACAAGCTCCATGTGCCCGGCATTATTATCATCTATGATCTAATCTATCTAGCTACTATTTTTATATTACGGATATTTTTTCGATTCGTCTAAAATCGTCGTACCAACTTTATTATATATATAATCAAGTGATTAAACTATATATTATGCTGTTATTTGTTTATGTGTTTATTAGTTTGTATAATCTTCTTGATCATACAATGGTCTCAACCACCACACGACATTGTGTTTTTGCTAATTTACCATCACATTCATTGGATTGTTCTTATTTTAGGCAGAAAAGAAAATATTTTAAACTTCTTCAAACGAGAGGTTCATGTGTAGATTATAACCTCCCTTAATTTCCATTTAGTAGATCAAACGAGAGGTTCATGTGTAGATTATAACCTCCCTTAATTTCCATTTAGTAGATCAATAAAAATTCTTACGTTGCTTTAGAATAGGACTTGTCTGAAACCCAAGTCCAAAGCCAACGTTAATTATATTCTTCAACCAAGTCTCATGACTCAACCTATAACCTTTATTTACTATAGACTATAGTATATGTTTTGATGGCTATTAAACGCAGAATCTCGTTTTTAAGAAATGTAGCATCTCCTAGACAATCAAAATATTCTATTTAGTTTGTTCCAAGGAACAAAAAAACATGATTGCTTTTGAAGATTCACTAAACATGGCGGACATTTAGTAAGTGCTTAGTACCTAACAAATAATTCGAGATTTTTTCTTCTTTTTGTCAACGATTCGAATATTTTCTAATATTTTTCCAATTTTTATGTTAATTATTGGAAAAACTCAAAATTTAATGGTATGTATGTTGATTAATCAATATAATGAAAATTTTGATAACTCCGGTATAATAGAAATTTAAAGATTTTGACGTTTTTCTCATTATCATTAACGAAAATAAAATAGACATTTCATTCTTATCATTTTACAATTTTTTTTATTTTGTTTTACAAAGTAAAGATTTGACATGTAACATCCAATTTCAACCTAAATTACAGAAAAAAACTAAATATATCACATTATTCTTACCAATCATGAATCATATTTATGGTAGTTTCTGACCGTCAAACGCTAAATTGTTGTTGAAACGGTGTTTTAAAACTTCGTTGGTAATTAAGAACTTTGTTCTTCTATTAACAAGTTTTCTAGAAATGAACTTGTACATCATTTTACATAGATTTATTGGAAGATCTAGCATATTTTGTGGTTGAGTCTATGATCAAATTCTTTACATATTTAATGGAAGATCTAGCAATTAGCGGTTGAAAGAATAATCAAATCATTAGTTTCTCATCAATTTCTATGGCTTTTTTTGTGTGTTCCAATATATAACACATATGCATG